CTAATCAATACGGTTATGGCAAATGGAGAGAGATCAAGAAGGCACCCCCAAAACCCCAAAACCCCGCTAGTGTTGATTGAAATGTATTAAAACAGTCACAGTATTTCATCTTAGATAATAAAATACTTAGGAATTGCAAAATTATATAAAATTTATAAAATATAATGGAACTAAACATGATAGATTAAACTAATGAGAGTATAGAAGTAGTGCAAAGTGAAAATAAGGAAGATTAAGTTAATTTACAGAATCAAGGGAGGGAAAAAATGAGAAGGCAATTGTTAGGGAACTCCAGATGTGTTTCGGACTTTGAGAAAATATAGGAGATTGGAGAAGGTACATACGGAACTGTCTATAAAGCTAGAGATAAGACCACAGGCGATATAGTTGCACTTAAAAAGGTGCGTATGCATAATGAGAATGATGGATTTCCTATCACATCCCTAAGAGAAATTAACATACTATCAAATTTGATGCACCCTAATATAGTCAATTTAAAAGAGGTGGTAGTAGGGTATAAAAAAGACAGCGTGTTCCTTGCATTTGAGTATTGTGAGTGTGATATTGCTAATCTGGTTGATTACATAATGAGGCGAAAGGAATACTTAAATTTGGCTGAGATCAAATGCCTCATGATTCAGCTGATTAAAGCTGTACTTTATCTTCATGAGAATGATATAATTCACAGAGATCTTAAGTTTTCAAATCTATTGATAAACTAAAAAGGGCAGGTGAAACTAGCAGATTTTGGTCTAGCAAGGAAAATTGGATATCCACTTTAACCATATACTGCAAAGGTTGTGACATTATGGTATAGAGCTCCAGAAATTTTACTTAAAGCTCCTCAATATTCTAAACCTATTGATACATGGGCTATTGGATGCATTCTAGCAGAATTTTTAAACTATGGTTATCCTATTTTAGCTGTAAGCATTATTTATAAATTCATTCATTATAAGGGAAATAATGAGATAGACTAGTTTAAGAAAATATGTGATTTAATTGGAAAACCAAGCAAAAGAGTGTGGCCTGATTTCTTTGATTTGCCGAATAGCAAGCATCTGCTATCACTTGTGGATAATACATACAACAACATTGAATAGAAATTTACTAAAATGAGCATCAATTGTATTGATTTACTCAATAAATTACTAGCCTGGGATCCGTCTCAAAGATTAACAGTAAGATATATCAACCTAATCTCTTATTTAAGCTGAATGAGGCATTAATGCACCCATTTTTTAGTGAACAACCTTATCCGTCTAAACATGATGAGATAAGATCATTGCGTTTGTTACAAGATATTAGCGATATTCCTTTTAAATCTAGATGATTAGATTGAATGTTATATAATTAATTAAAGTTCTTAAAGAATTCATGAATTTAGAATGAAAATATCATCCACGGGGTTTTGGGGTTTTGGGGTTTTGGGG